AGTTGTGAGGTGATATCTCATTGTGGTTTTGATTTGTATTTCCCTGATGACTAGTGATGTTGAGCATTTTTTTTTCAGATACCTATTGTCTATTTGAATATCGTTTTTTAAAAAAAATGCCCATTTAAAAAATCGAGTTATTTGTCTTTTTTGCTATTGAGTTGTAATGAGTTTCTCATGTATTTTGGATATTGATCCCTTATCTTGATATACGGTTTGCAAATACTTCCTTCCATTCGATAGGTTGCCTCATTTTGTTGATGTTTTTCTTTTGCTTTGTAGAGGACCCCCTTCTTTTAAAGACAACCACCAAGAACCTCACATGTCACTCAAATGTATAGCCCATTGGCTATAGCCTCGTGAAGTGGCCTTGCCAATGTGCAAGGAAGGCTGAGAATCCAGCCTTTACCCTGGGTGTTCTGCTAAATGCCAGATGTCCCACTGCGAGAGAAGACGACAGAGCAGATACTGGGTAGAAACTGCAGTCTCTGCTTCACTCCCTCACTACTTATGGGATTTGGTCAAGAATTTTCTATTGAATATTCTTATTCTTGAAATTAAAACAACTCCTCCTTTGTGTTGATTATTTTGCTTTACCTCTCTGACACCGCACACCATGAGCTTCTTCCTGAATCAATCTATGCTTCCTGTGACTTCCACGCATGAAACTGTCAGTCCCTCTAGCCGTTATCAACGTTTATTGCTATTGTTACCTGCTCTTCCTCTTTCTGCCCCTTAGTGTTCCTATGAGTTCTGTCCTGGAGCAACTTCATTCCTCAACTTACCAATTCTTCTGTCACATATAGTAAAAGGAGGTACAGCACACATATGCTGAATATTTACTATATGCTAAGAACTATAAGCACTTTATACACAGAACTTCACTGAATCCCATCAACAACCACAAAGGTAGCTGCCATGGGTATTCCCACTTTACATGGAGGTTGATTTAATTTGTCCATAGTTGGGCAGTGCCAGGTTTGAATTTTATTTCCAGACATCCATGTTTTTGAGTTACCATTATACCACTTCTAAACCCCTTCTGCTTCCCTCCCACACAAAAACAAACAAACATCAGGTCCCATACATATACTCAACTGCTTACTAAACAGGTCTGTTTGATTATCTCATAGCATTTCAAACTCAAGATGACCCAGATAAACTCATAGTTCTTTCAACAATTACTTATTGAGTACTTACTATATGCTAGGCACTGCTGTAGGTGCTGAATCTACCGAAGTGACATAAAAGGACAATCTCTGACTTCAAGAAATTTATTCTCTAGTTAGGAAGACAAACAGTAAAATAAATAGTCAGTTTGTGATCAGCACTATAAAGAAAAATAAAGAAATGAAGCTAGATAAGTAGATACAGATGGAGAGGGCCATGTGGTAGAGAGAATAGAAGTCCAAAAAGATGTTGACTTGACCCACTAATTCCTGGAATCTGTAAATATATTGTATTTCATGATGGGGAGGGGGGGAGTTGAAGATGTGATTAAGCTTAAGGACCTTGAGATGTGGAAATGACCCAGGATTATGTGGAAGGACCAAATAATATCACATAGGCCCTTAAAAGTAAAAGAGAGAAGCAGAAGGGTGAGTCGGAGAGATGCTACAAGGATAACAGAAGAAGAGGAAAGAGAGATTCAATGCATGGGAGGGACTCCATCTACCATTGCTAACTTTCAAGATGGAGGAAGAGGTCACAAGTCAAGAAATATAGCAAACTATAGAAGCTAGGAAGGGCTCTCATTTTACAGCTAGCAAGAAAATGGGGATGTCAGTCCAACAACCACAAGAAACTAAATTCCGCCAACCACCCGAAAGAGCAGAAAACAGACCCTCCCCTAGGGTCTCCAGAAAGCACAGCCTTGCCATCACCTGGATACTAGCTAGCAAGATCTGTGCCACATTTCTAACCTACAAAACTATAAGTTAATAGATTTGGGTTGTTTTAAGCTACTAAATTCAGATGAAATACCACAAATCAAGCTATTTTAAGTAGGGTGGCTGGGGAAAACCAAGCTAATCAGAGACCTGGAGAAATATCTGAGGGAAGAGCTTCCCGAGCTAAAAGGAATGAACCTGAAGTGACAGGAGCTTGGAGTGTATGTGGAACAGCAGTAGAGGCTGAGATGGCAGGAGAAGCCAGGGGCCAGTGCATGGGAAGCTCTGCAGATCACGGAGCTTTGGATTTTATTCTAAGCATGATGGGAAGACATTTTGGGTTGACTTATATTTTTAAAAGTTCCCTTTTGGGTGTTGTAATGAGAATAGACTGAATGGGGAAAGGGTAGAAGCAAGGAAATCCATGTAGGAGGCATTTTTTATTGCCATCCAGCAATCTAAATAAGAGAAGAAGATAGCTTGGAACAGGGTGGAAGAGGTAAAGAAAAGTTGTCCCACAGAGGATTTGTTTGAGTGTTAGAGTCCACTATAATTTCTGATGGCTTGAAAGTATGGTGAGTAGAACAGAAGACAGATGAGCAACTGAATACATGGTGGTACCAGTTACTGAGATGGGAAAAATCATAGCAAAAGAAGGTTGTGGGGGAGGGGGGGAACATGGGGCAGGGATCAGGAGTTTGTTTTTGGACATGTAAAGCTTTAGATGCCAATTAGCCCTCCCAGTCAAGATGTCAGAGAGGCCGAAACCGGTTTGGCTCAGTGGATAGAGCGTCGGCCTCTCTCCCTTACTCTCTGTGAAAAATCAATAAAATATATTTAAAAAAAAAAAAGATGTCAGAGAGGCTGTTAGGTATGTGCATCTGAAATTCAGAAATAGTTTGAGCTAGAAGTATGTGGTAGACAGAATAATGTACCCCCCCCACCCCCGCCAAAGATGTCGATATACTAATCCCCAGAATCTGTGAGTATGTTATGTTACATAGCAAGGGGGGATTCAAGCAGGAAACCAGCTGACCTTAAAATGAAGAGATATCCTGGGTTATCTGGCTGGGCCCAATGCAATCAAAAGTGTTCTTAAATGGGGAATAGGGAGGCAGGGGACTCGGAACCAGAGAAATGGCATCATGGACTGGATTCAACTAGCTGTGCTGGTTTTGAAGATAGAAGAGACCACAAGACAAGATATGGGAGCAACCTCAAGAAGCTGGAAAAGATAAGTAAACAGATTCCTTCTAATAGTCTCCAGAAAGGAAGAGAGCCCTGTCAACACCTTGATTTTAGCTCAGTGAGACTTACTTAAGACTTCTGACCTACAGAGCTGTAAGATAATAAACCTGTGTTAAGTCACTAAGTTTGTGGTAATTTGTTAGAGTGGACATAGGACTAATACAAGTCATAATGTTACTGAAACATCTTTTTTTCCACTGGAACCCATCTTGGTAAATGGCATAAACACCACCTATTTGTTCAAGGCAGAAATACATGCCATCCTTAATTTCTTCTTCTCTTTTGTGTTCCCAATCCAGTCAACATCAAATCCTCCAGATCCTACTTATTAAATGCATTCAGGTAGCCACTGTGCTATTTCTCTAATATAGATCCACCATCATCATCATTATCTCCCTTTGGGATGGCAGAAGGCAGTACATATCCAACATTCTCTATTTAGCAGCCAGAATAAGCCTTCTGAATTGAGTATTTCTGGTAATTATCCTTCTCTCCTGAAAGTCTTCAATGACTTGTTCTTTCGCTCAGAATAAAGCCCAAACTGCTTGACCTGTCTTGGAAGGTCCTCCAAGGTTTGACTCTGTCTTCATCGTTGCTTCCCAACACTTCTCAGCCTAAACTTTAGATGCTAGAAAGCATTTGGAGGCATCCTCACTTCTGGTGTGGGCACTGTCCTTCCTCCCACGGCGTTTTCTATGAAAAACACTCCAGATGGACCCCATTCACCAACAGCTTCCAACTTATTCCCTTCAGGTTGCCCCTGATCTCCTAAATTGTTAGCAGATTGATATTAGGACCTTGAACTTTTCCTTCAAGATACTCCCCACAATAATTCGTTCTGCCTGACTCATGAGAGCAGAGCTTTTGCCTGACTTGCTCGTTATTCTATCTCCATTTCTAGCAGGGAGCACATAGTAGGTGCTCAGGGAATATTTGTAACATGGTAACTGCTCACTAAGGAGCTGTAAAAGCACTTTTTAAAATTTCTATAATGGTTCCTATGTCATTTTTAGTAACCATTTCCTACAAAGTCTTACTAATGGAGTGTTCAAAAACTTTTTAAAATGCAATAATTTTGTGTTTATCACCCTTTCCACATTCTTGAATTTTTTTTGTTCTTTTTGAAAATGGGCAGTAAGAGGTAGGTGGGAGAATGACTTTAGCTTGTCTTAAGTTTATATCACTCAACGTGTATTAAGTGAGCACCTTCTATGTGCCAATCACTAAGTTTGAAGAATACAGTAAGTAAATAAAATAGGCACAGTATCTGTTTTATGGAGTATGCATACTAGTGCGTGTATAAGAAAATGAGAGGAAGTCAGAAAGTAACAAACTGAACAGTCTATAGCACATAGTAATAACAGCCAAATTGAGGAAGGGGGGTGAGTGTTAATTTTACACTTAGGGTGAGAAGAAAAGCTTCTCGAATAAACAGACATTTGAGTCGGGACCAATAGCAATTCGGGCGTCTGTATCAGGTCCCAGGGAAGCATGCCAGATCTGGAATTTCTTTTTGTAAATTCAAATCGCAGGTTACCAGTTGCAAGCCGTCCGCGACTAAACAAGTCAAACTAGTCCCTCGGGGCCTTCCCCCTACTTGTAAAAGGACAATAATACTACAAACCTCATAGGAGAAAACGCTCCGCAAGGAAACTAACACAGAAGAGTCCCAACAGGACTTCTAAAGAAGGGCTGAGCACCTGGGAAACCAACCCTGGGAAAGCCTGCTAGGCTCCCGCCACTAGCACCACCCCCTCTGGAGGGATTGGCTACTCAACCCGTCCGTCCGGGCCGCCCAGGCATCCCGACCAATCCCGGCCGGTGTTGCGCCGAGTGGGAGGTACCCATGACGTCTGATGACGCGTTACGTCAGCGTTGACGGAAGTCACGGCCGCTGTTTTGAAATCCTGCCGCCGGAGTCTCACCAGCTCCTTCCCACACCAAGGCCGCCGACATCGCGTCGCCAAGGGGACCCCCGAACGTTTCTCCTGCGGCCCCGCGGGCCTGAGGCCGCAGCCGCGCCATGTCCACTCCTCCGTTGGCTGCGTCGGGGATGGCGCCCGGGCCCTTCGCCGGGCCCCAGGCTCCGCAGGCCACGCGGGAGGTCAACACGGCCTCCCTGTGCCGGATCGGGCAGGAGACGGTCCAGGACATCGTGTACCGCACCATGGAGATCTTCCAGCTGCTGCGGAACATGCAGGTGGGCAGGTGGGCGGCGGCGCCCGGGCGCGGGGAGGAGGCGGATGCTTCTGCGAGGTCGCGGGGCGCTGGGCTGGACGTTCCGTGGGGCCCCTGGGCGTCAGCGGGGCTGCCCTGGGCAAACCCCGAGGATCGGGTCGCCCCGTTTACGTGCCGAAGTGTCCTCGGTGACTGTCCGACCCAGGAGTCTGCCGTGCGAATGCGATGTTTCCAGAGCGGGCTTCTGGGCGATTGGAGCCCCGTGTTCTGGATTCGAGCTCCGTGTTCTGGATTCGAACAGGTTCCCTGGTTACCAGGCAAACTCGCTCCTTTCAGGGTTCGAGTCCGGCCTCACTCTGCTACCCTGTTTCTATTGCTTTAACCGTCATCTCATCTTCCAGCAGAATATCTTCTGAGGGTCTGAGGAGTTGAATTAAGATTCTGCTCATCATTTTCGTTCAACGGCTCTATTTTTGGTGTAAGAGGCACACAATAAAGTGCATTTTTAAAAAGTGTTGACGGACGTAAATGCGTCCTTGTGAAACCATCACCTATGCCGCAAAAGGTCTCTCCATGCGCCTTTGAAAGCTTTACTTGTGGCCTCCTGGCCGCGGGCATCCTCTCTGGTTTGCTTTCTGTTACCATCCATTTCTAGAATTCTGTGTCAATGGAATCATTTTTGTAGTAGTCACTTTTGTCTGGCGCCTTTCACTCACTCATCGTGTGTCAATAGTTCGTTCCTTTTGATTGCCGAATAGCGTTCCGTCGTGTGAATGAACACATCACAGTTCGTGTGTACGTTCAACTGTTGGCGGACATTCGAGTTGTTTCCACTTTGGAGTCATTATAAAAATACTTCTATGAATGTTCATCTCCAAATGATCAGTGAACATGTGTTTCATGTCTCCTGAGTAGGCAGGTGCCCAGCAGTGGAATTTGCTGGATCATAAAATAAATGTTTAGCATGGTAAGAAACTTTTTCAAAGCTCTGCACAACTTTAATTCCCATCAGCAGTGTGTGAGGATTCTGGTTACGCCTCATCCTCACCAGCACTTATTATCCTGTGTCTTTTGCTTTGCAAATACTTTCTCGCAGTCTGTGCCCTGTCTTTTCATCATTCTATTCACATTGCCTTTTGAAGAACAAACATTTTAAACTTGGATGGGATCCAACTTAATTAATTTGTTCACAGATTTTGCTTGGATGTTGTACCTAAGAAATTTTTGTCTAATTGAAGGTGACAAAGATTTTCTTCTATGTTTTCTTCTGCGAGTTTTATAGTTTTAGGTTTTACATTTAGGTCTATGATCCACATTGAGTTAATTTTTTAATATAATGATAGGTGTAGATCCAAGTGCACTTTTTTTTTGCATTTGGATAGCCAAGGATTCCAATCTCATTTTCTAGCCTATTTTTTAATTGAATTTTTTGGGGTGACATTAATAAAATGATATGGATTTCAGGTGTACAATTCTATAATACATCATCTGTATATTGTATAATGTGTTCACCACCTCAAGTCAAGTCTCCTTCCATCACCATTTATCCCCCTTTTACCTCTTC